ATGTTCATGGATAGAATTACAATATTAAGATAGAAAAGGTCACATCTCCCCATATTATACATTCAATGCCCATCACACTTCCTAGACTTTGTTGAGAACTTTACAATGATTCCACAATATGTATGGAAGAACAAAGATTCACAAATAACCAAGACAAGGTCTAAAGAAAAGAAAAGTAGGGGCTCACCCTGCCATATAAAACACACTACAAAGCTATAATTTAAAAAATAATAAATTTGACGTAGAAACAGATAACTAGAATAGAATTGACAACTATAACACAGCCCCACCCCCCGCAAGAATCTCAAAAACAGTATGTTGAGTTTAATGGGAACATAGTTTCAGTTTGGGGTGATAAAAAATTTCTAGAGATAAGTAGTGGTGATACCAAAGTGAATGTACTTAATGCCACTGAATTATGTACTTAAAAATGGTTAAATGGTAAGTTTTATGATATGTATATTTTATCACAATTTTTAAAAAATTTTTTAAATCAGTACGTTGAATTAAAGGAGCCAGACACATATAAAATTCTAGAAAATGCAAACTAATCGATAGTGACAGAAAGCAGATCAGTGGCTGCCTGAGTCTGGAGACAAAGGGAGGGATGGACTACAACCGGGCCCAAGGGAAGTTTGGGAGTGATGGAAATGCTCTCTACCTTGACTGTGGTGGTTTCACAGGAATGCACATCTGTCAAAAGCAATCAAACTGTACACTTTAAACAGATTCAGGTTTCATATGTAAATTATAACTCCTAATGAAATTGAGAAAATAAACTCATGTGTGTTTGTGGGAACCTGACATATGGTAAAAGTTGCTCCATAAAAAAATGTGAGGAGAGTACACTGTTTAATAGATGATTTGAGAAAACTGTCTCACAAAATGGAAAGGAAAAAAATATAGCTGGATTCCTTCCTTATGCCATATAAAACAGACCTCAAATAGATTGAAGCCCTCAATGTAAAAGGTAAAACTGAAAAGCAGGTAGAATATAGAATGTCTTTGTAATTGTGGGGTAAGGAATACCATCTTAAGACTCCTAAAGTGCAACTCAAGGCAAAAATTAATGGATTGGAGCTACATCAAAACTAAAATCTTCTGAAAGTTACCATTGACAAAGTTACTAGACAGAAGATAGGATGGGATTAACATATAGAATATGCAAGAAACATCTGCAAATCAACTCATTAGAAAAGCAGAGCGAGGCTAGTCAAAGAAATTGTAATGGATAACAAATATAAGAGCTTGAATTCACTAAGAAATCACATAAATTCACATTAAAACAATGAGATCCCACTTTGTAGCCAACAAATATTGGTAAAATTGAGAAGATGGTTAATATCGAACATTAGCAAGAATGTGGGGAATCAGATATTGGGGCATAAACCAGCTCAACAACTCTGGACAGTCATTTGGCAATACTCAGGAAAAACAGCTATGTTTGTATTCTATTACCCAGCCAACCCACCCCTGGGTATATACTCTTAGAGCAGAGCAGTGGTTCTCAAATTTTCCCGTGCATCAGAATCCACAGGCTGAGCATGTTAAAACACAGGGGTGTTTATGGGGTCTGACCCCAGAGTTTCTGATTCCAAGAATCTGCATTTCTAACAAGTTCCCAGGTGACACAGATGCTTCTGGGAGTGGACCACACTTTGAGACCCACTACCCTAGACATATGCTCACACAGATCATTAAGAAAATACATACAGGATGTTTATATCGCAGCTGTGCTTGCAGTAGCAGGAGTGGAGGTGAGTTAAGCATCTATCACTAGGGAGATGGGAAAGTAAAAGCAGTGGACACATAACAGACCAGCCTTACAATTCAGCAGTCATGGATAAATTCACACTAACATGGATCTTACAAAAAAATGCTGAAATTCTTTTGACTTTCATGAATGTCTGCAAACTTCCATAATAAAAAATGTTAATGTTGAATGAAAAAGAAATAGAATGAAATTTACAGCACAGTACCATTTATGTAAATTAAAAGCATTCACAAATTAACTCAATATCTTTAACAAGGATACATACATACCCAAAAACAGATCCAACACATGTGAGAAGGCTTCTCTGGCAGAGAGGGGAATGGAGTGGGAATGAAGGAGAAAAAATAAAACAAGGGGCTTTTGCACAATTAAAGGATTCTGTGCCAAGAACAGAGGAATGTTAACTATCAGCACCAGCAGTCTGAAAGGCAAAAACCACCCAAGCTCTCTAAATCCCCACTCACCTTCATTTACAAACAACCTTTGAGTCAGTAAAGCCCCAGGTAGCTTTGCACCATTAAGGGGACAGATCAGCTTGCCACTAAAAGTAGAAGGGAATCTCTCTGAAATACAAGCTTGGGGAGATTTCAGGCCGCCAGAATCCAACCTGCTCCTGGGCCCTGGATTTTCCCTCTTTGACATATTAGTTTAAAAAGAAGTGGGGGTTCTTGGCTTTCAGGCAAGAGTGTGTATCTCTACATCTCTCTCTCTTTCTCTTCTGCTTGTGTATGTGTCTGTTTGTATCTATGGATCTGTGTGTGTCCCTCTCTCTGAATTTGTGTAGGTTTATGTGTGTGGTGTGTTTACTTGCGCAGATAAAGTGGACCAGGGAGAAGAGCAAAGCATTCCCGCAGAAACTGAGCTACATTTGTTCTTCAGCCATTCACTTCGGGTTTTACTGAAAACAGAAGTCACAGTTATAAAACCAAGCTATCTCCCCTCCCCCACATCCAGTGCTGCCTCCCAACTCCCACATCCAAGTGGGCTGATCCAAAATAAGGTCCTTCTGTAATTGAGTAGCTTAATTAAGGTGACAAACTACAGGGAAGCTCTTGGAGATGACAAAAAAACCACTTATCTTCCTGACCAAGAGCGTTTAACAGAAAAACCAAAAATCTTTAAGACCAGGCATGCCATAAAAATTTCTTCCAGAAGAGACTGCCGTGGCTTAGCTACCATCCAAAAAAGAAAAAGACAAAGCCATCTATAATCTGCCATTGCCCCCACAAGGGCAAACTGGCCACAGCTCTTTCCAAGAGCCACTGAAAAGTTTGCCACATGAAGTGGTAGGAAAATGCATGAGTCAATCAGAAAATAAAAATCACCATTGATTGAATTTATGTGAGAAAATGCAACAGATCCTTCTGGCAGCAGTTTTAAATAAGCAAGCCCAAACCAAGAAACTATGTCTTTAGGGGAAGAAGAATAGCCAAACGAATGGAGGAAGGAGAATAGTGAAGATAAAGGGCAGAATGAAATAGCCGCACACTCATGCCTCCCTGCCAAAGATTCAGGGGCGTTGATCCCTGTACGCAAACAATCCACTAGTTTATTCCCAAAACAATGTTTCATCTTTTCTACAGCAGCACTTTTCATTGGATGGTAAAGGGTTAGGAATTTTATTGTTTTCCTGAAGTATATAAAATGAAGTTCTGTAAATTAAAGCATATTTGATGTGCAACAGGAGCACTTTTTGTTTTTTAAGAAAATACTGATGGCTACTACTTAGGAGTCCCTTAGGTTTTCATGAGATATGTTAGGAAAGCACGCCTATTTTTCTAGCTGAAGTGCTGGATCTGCCACAAGTTGAAAGTTAAGGGATTTAAGCAGAAAAGGAAAAGAATTGAGTTTTCAAGCTAAAATTGAATGTCTACGGTCAACACAGGCAATTATGTCTTATGAAAACATACAAAGTTCTTTAACTGTCAAACGTACACAGGCATTGATGTGCATATTTTATTCTAACAATGTTCAAGGGAAACCCCCATTTACAGACTTAAAAATAGATGAAGCAACTGAATACAGGGTTTTAAAAAAATAGATGAGGAACATGGCAAATATTGAAAAGCTCTTCTGTTATGAAGACTTTAATTTCAACGGACAGGCATTTATTGTGTATTACAAGTTAGACACTGTGCTAGATGGATGCTAGGGATCCTCCAATGAATAAGAAGACATTGTTTCAGTGACTCTGTCTCTTTAATATCAGTTTAATCTATCCCTTAAGTTTATTTCTTTTAAAAAAAATGTTTCTAGATATTTGAAATAGCTCACTATCAGCACTGAAAGAGCTGCAGAAATATATCTTACTATTTTACTAAAACCGTAAATTTGTAGTGTTTGAAGCAGAAATAGAAGGAAAAGACTACTTCACTGCTTTACATAGAGCTATCCCTTTCTGCAGAATAGCTACTTAAACTCACTGGTAGCAGCTGCCACTCCCTGCTACCCAGCAAGTCACAGAGACAGAGAATCTCAAAAATATGCTACATAGCTTAAGAGAAGCAGTAAGGAAACTCAAAAACACAGGGCCTCCAGACCTACACAGGAAGCAAGATAAGGAAAGTGAGCTGCTGCAGGCAGAAGGCAGCTCCTGGAGGTTCCCCCAAAGCTGGCACCTCAGACAACAGGCACAGGCTGCTGCTTGCTTTCTTGCTTGGCCAAGGCATGTCTTCAGAGCTGGAAGGCTGCCACCTGCTGAATCACGAAACATCCCTGGGCTTCCCTTGGAGCACTGACCAGACAGGCACCCAACCCCCGCCTAGCTTTTCCCCGTGGACATCTTACACTCGGACCAATGAAACGCCCAGCCCTCTCCCGTTCTGCACAGGCCAAAACAGCCTCCAACCCCGCTCAGTCTGGGCAGCCCTAGGCAACTCCCATCGCGTTTCTACGTCACCAGTCCCTCTCCTCTCCTTCGGCCCACTGAATGTTCAACCTCCAGCGCCAAGCATGAGGAGTTCACAGCACACCATAACAGGCATTCACTACTTCCATGTCCAGGTAGCCAACCAGAAACATCCCCAAATCTGAAAGCAAAATAACCTGTCGAAACAGCTTTAAAGGTCCGGGAAGGTAAATGTCAAGGGAGCTAAAATAATAGGCCCCATAACATAGAAAATAAACTTCCCTTTCAGAAAGCAGCCTTCACTCTTGGTTTCATAAGCGTGCACTGCTTAAGTCTGAACTGTTTGAAGGTGAAAAGAAACATCTGAGAAGCACCTGCCCGGATTCTCTTCGCTAGCTCAGGCCATGGCAACCCTCATCCCGATCTTTACTTCGCGACACCCAAGGGAGAAACAAGCGTAAACCAGAACACGCCTGGCTGAATCCGTTAGCTGGACACAGGGCACCCTACCCGGTCCAAGAGAGAAAGTCACAAGCCCGAGTTGGGGTTAAGACGGTGGGAGATGCAGCCGCTGCTGTCGCTGCTTTGCCCTTGACAAGTCGCCTCAGAATCGCGCAGACCCCCTCAGTCACTGAAGAGCCACGTCCTGGAGAGGCGGTCCAGTTCTGGGCGGCGCCAATGACCCCTCCAGGCCTCACCCCTGAACACCCCCACCCAGCAGAGACAGCCCCTCGAGGTCTCAGAGCCGCCTGGTGGGGGGTGGGGGATGTTACCCGGCCTGGAGAGAAGGGGCTCTCTCCTAAGGGAAGGGACTCCCACCTGTTATATCGTCGGGGGGGCATCCAGAGGCCGCGGAGGGGGATCCCGAAACCGTGGGCGCCTGGCCGGCTGCAATCTGGCCCCGAGGTACCAACTGTCATGCCGCCGCCTGGGCCGTAGGGGTGGGGCCGCGATTTGGGGTCAGCCCCTGCAGGTATCCAGACCCCGGGCTCCTCGCCTGCCGGTCGCCCCAATCCGACCCCAGGCAGCCTTCCAGCCCGCACGCAGCACCTCTGAAAAGGTGCCCACTGACGCCCCCTCCTTCCTCCCAGCCCCAACTTGGCCGGGGAGCCCCACCGGCGGCCCGCCCCCTCCGAGCCGGGATCCTGGCCGCCGGATCGCCCCCCGCGCCCACCCCTGGGAGCGGCAGCGCTGGGGCAGTGCCCGCCAGGTACGCGCGCGGCTCCGCACCGCGGGCTGCGCTCACGCCCCCTCGCCCCAGGGCTGCCCGCCCGCCCCGCTCCCCAGCGTCAGGCCGGGCCCAAGAGACGGGTGTCCCATCGGCCCCCCGCGACCGCGAAGCCAGCTCTCTGCCCCCGCCCCACGACTCACTTGCTCCGGAGTCGCGGCAGCCGCCGGAATTCCGCTCGCCGAGCCCCCCGCCGCGGAATGAAATCCGGGGCAGGGCAGCGTCGGGGCTCCGCACGCCGATCGCGCAGTCTGGCCGGCTCTCCAGGCGCGAGGGGAGAGCAGCCTGCCCCAGCCGGCCCTTCCCGCTCCCGTCCTGCCCGCCGCCTGCCGCCGCTGCCCTGCGGCTGCCTCGCTGGTGCGAACGCTTCCGACTTGCCACCGCGAGCCTCCCCGGCTGCCGAGCATGCCCAGTCCGCTGCCCGAGCCGGCCCGGCTTCCCGCGCGACGCGAGTCCGCTCCTCCGGGTGTTCGCGGCGGCCGGGGGGAGGGCTGGGCTGGCCGGGCGGGGTCTGAGGGGTGCTCATCCCGGGACACAGCGGGACCTGGGCTGACTGCGCACCCAGGGACAGTTGGGGCTTGGACCCCTTTTGTTACTTTCAAGTAAGGGGGAAACTGGAGAGGCGGTCGCTTTCCCCAGCAACGAGAAAGGCCTAGCTTGCGCGCCTTTAGGGGCCGCTAAGTCTGGGCGGACGGGCGCCGGGTTTTACGGTCAGGGACGGTGAACCACTCGGGCAGAGCCGGAGAGCTGAGCAGCTGCAGCTGGTCAGAAAGTAGGGGTCGCAAACTCAGCCTTCTGGAGGCCGGGCTCGGGGTGCGAGTTTGCTAACTACACTGGGAGTCTCTAGCCCCACCAAACCCAAGGGCTCCGACACTTAGGATTAACTTCTGGCTGACCATAGTAAAAAGGCGCACCTCAGACGATACGGCCCGTTTTCAGACCTCAACCAGACTCCTGTCTTGCACATACACACACACACACACACAAAATAATAGAGCCGCCTGCGCCACAAACCCCGCGATGCCAGGAAACGCGGGGGAGGCCCAAGGGGTGTGAAGCCGGGAGAAGACTCAGCCGCGTCAGAGCCGCCCAGCCCCTGCCGGGCCCCGCCCCCGCCGCCCCTGGAGCAGCGGAGAAAACCCGGAGAGCGGCGGAACCGGGCGGGAGCCCCGCGCATGCCCAGTAGCCCGACCTGGTGCGGGTCGCCCGAAGGAAGGTTTTTCCTAAGCTCCGGGAGTGAAACCCCAGCTCCTGGGTTAGAGGCGGACAGCTAGAAGAGCTGGCCTTCTGCCCCGGCGCGCTCCCTCCCTGGCCGGCCGGCACCGCACCTCCGTGGCTGAGAGGCAGCCCCGGACTGTGCCTCCCGCGGGGTCTGGGACTCGGCGAGCGGGGGAGGGGGCGTGCAGCGATACCGGCGTGACACGTGACTGTCCGCGGCGCTCCGGGCAGCCATCTTCCGCCCGGCCATCGGGCCGCGGGCGATCGCCACGGACCCGGGAGCCGGCGGGACGTGAGCCGAGCGCCCTCTTCCCCCGCCACGCCCTCCCGCCAGGCTCGGGCCTCCGCTCCGCACCTGCCTCCGCCAAGCCCTGGCGTGCCGGAATCGCCGCGCCGACCCCCGGCTTGCCCGGAGGACGGGCTCTCGCCCCGGCCAGAAGCAAACGGCTGCGAAATCAAGAGAGCAGAACTCCGGTGATGGACTGTCTACGCTTTTCCCCAGAGGCGGAAGTTGGAGAGAGGGGTCCCCCTCCGTAAGGCAGTGATACTGCTGCTCCAGCTGCCTCCCCGTTCTAATCTATTCCCTGCAGAGGAGGCGAGATATATTGGCAGGGACACCTGAACAGAGGCCAGCTCTCTTCCCTGCGGTACAATACCCCACGGGCCCTGCTGGTGGGCAGCTGGGTGATGTTACTAGTGAACATTTATTGAGCTCCTGCCTCGAGTCACTTGGGGTCCCTGTTTCAGCACCAGCCGCGTCACCATCGCCCAAGAATTTGCTAGAAATGCAAATTTTCGGCCTCTCCTAGACCTAACAGATTCAAGCTCTCTATGCGTGAGGTCCTGCAATCTGGTCTACAAGCCCTCCAGGTGGTTCTCATGGGCGCCTGTCAATTAAGCCTTACAGCGATCCATTTTTTTTTTTTTTTTTGGAGACAGAGTCTCACTGTGTTGCCCGGGCTAGAGTGAGTGCCGTGGCGTCAGCCTAGCTCACAGCAACCTCAAACTCCTGGACTGAAGTGATCCTACTGCCTCAGCCTCCCGAGTAGCTGGGACTACAGGCACACGCCACCATGCCCGGCTAATTTTTTCTATATATATTTAGTTGTCTAATTAATTTCTTTCTATTTTTAGTGGAGACGGGGTCTCGCTCTTGCTCAGGCTGGTCTCGAACTCCTGAGCTCAAACTATCTGCCTGCCTCAGCCTCCCAGAGAGCTAGGATTACAGGCGATCCATTTTAATAAGTGAGGCATTGAAAATTTACGTAGTTTGCCCAAAGCACAGTGAGGAGTCAAGGATTCAAAAAGAGGCAGTGTGCTCCAGTGCAGACGTTTTGTTAATGCCCTGCACTCCGACTTCTCTGGCTTCCCCGCCCCTACGACACTATACTGCTCTTCTCAGGAAGATTAGGAAAGTACATTTGTCACGTACGTTTGTCGCGTATGGCTTTAAAATAACAACTAAATTCGATTCAACTACATATTTTAAGTGTCTACCGAGGGCAAAGCTCTGTGAGTCATAGTATCCCTACTGGATATTTTTGTCAGTTAGCACCTAAAAGGTGAAAGGGAAGGCTTACTTTCTTGCAGTGTAAATTTTTTCAAACTAAGAAAGTGCCAGAAAACTGGCTGGTTTCTCTCCAGTGCTACTTATGCAGAATGTGCTGTAAGCTTTGGACTTCCTGAAAATAAGGTCCAAGTAAGCATCTGGTGTTTGATTTACTTTCAAATGTGCCCCCCTAAATGTAAAGATGACTAAATTTACATGAATTTTAAAATACTAACAGTTCTTGAATGTAAGTGGTGTGTCTAGGGTGCTCACTATAATTTTTTCTAATTTTCTGTATGTTTTAAATGTTTCACAATAAAAAGCTTTTTAAATTGTTTTCCATGAGTAATTTTAGGATGATATATAACACATGGAAAAAAGCAGGGTATAAAAGTTTTTCCACTTTGATTTCAATTTTATAAAATAATTCAGAGAGAAAAAGTCATAGATGAATACATGGTACATAAAAATACAGCCATAAATAAATATAGAAAAAAATCTAAAGAGAAATCACAAAAGTAATAAAAGAAAATTCTGAGTGAAATGATTATAAGACACAAAGAGTTGGCTCTCCTTGAAATTAAATTTAGTAATGGTCCTTAAGTCATTACCACTTGCAATAAAAAAAAAAATCACTGATTAAAAATAATTCTCCCTCTCCAGTCCACCCAATCCTAAAGAATGTTACCAGTGCATTTCTCATAAAAATTTTAACAAGCATCATATTGTCCGATTGTAAAATTTTAGGATTCTCAAGAATATCATGCATTGCTGTCAAGACAACTAAGAAACAAAAATGAATCACCTCCAAATCACAATCTGTCATTAAAAATCATGTTAAACATAATACTAAGAGCAAATACTGAGGTGAACCCTGCACATGCCAAGACAGCTATTCTGAAGTAGGTGGTTTCGTTCCAAATGAATGACTCTTCTATCTTTAGTGGGTAATCTACCTGATTAAAAATGTGGTGGTTATATCTAGTTGACCTGTAAGCAGTAGCCATCATTCACCAACCTGTAGTCAAAGTTCAATTGCTCAGGGAGCAGGGAAGCTTCTTTATATGTCCATGGAAATTTGTCTCAGTGGAAGGAAGAATCTGAAGCCACGTAGCCTGAGTAGCAGGAGCAAGACCTCAGAAGCCCCCTTTAGCCCTTTAAACTCATCTAACAAACCCACAACCGGGGTTCCAACCCAAGGCTGACCAGAAAAGCCAACTATGGACAACAAAGGTGGTTCCAAGTAATTGGCCAAAGGCTTAGATCTGATAGTACTCAACCCTGTGTGCTCATTCTTACATACCTGGTTTCAATAACTGCTTGGCTTCTTTTATTGGTCAATGAAAAAAAAAACTGGAATTTATTTGAAGATACTGGGATAGATCACAGATGTATCTAAGGCTCAGGACGAGATCAGAGCCAGGAGTCAGAATATTAATGGAAACCCAGAAAGTCTCCCTCCGTCTCCTCTGCATTTCTATTTATTCTCTCCCTTTGCAGGCTGGCCTTTTTGCCTCCAGTTCCAAACTACTTGAGCGTTCCCAAGTTTATAACTCTTCCAGAGAGTAGCAGAAACTACCTTACCTATATTCATTAACGATTTTGTCTAATTGAATCCTGTTTCCCCAGATTCCCACTGACCACTTAAACTATTCCTACTAATATTTCAAGG